CACCAGGGTGCACATATGGAAACCAGAGGACAATTTGCAAGAGTCAGCTCTCTAAGCCATCCTGGGCATTAAACTCAGGTCATCACCTTGGTGTAACAGATGTCTACTCACTGACTCGTGCCACCAGCCCCAGGATTGTTTATCTAAGATAAAGGAGATCGGGAACCCCCTCCCAACTCATGCTATGAAAAAGACCCCAGGGTATCTGATGCAATTCTGAAGTCCACTTCCTTGGATCATCACCTCACCCTGAGGAGGCAGGGAAAGTGGCGTGCCACCTGTTCCATCATTGGGAACTGAAGCTTGGTGAAGCCTCCCATTTGAGCCAGCTCTGGGGCTCCGAAGCCTGGGCCCAGCTCCCGTGTGTCCATGCTGGTCTCTGTTCTGAGAGCCTAATTTGCTCTCCAGTGTCTCAATGGTGTCAGCCTTGAAGTTAGGATAGAGGTTTTCCTTCAAGCGCCTTCTCCTCAGCTCCCTCATTCTTTCTCCTTCCCCTATTCCTACCGCCATCTTTATAGGCCATTGGTCTTTTGTCTTGTTTGGTCTTTACCCTCTACTCTGTTCAGCTGACCACCGAACCAAGTGATGCTTCCAGGATCCCACTGCTGACTTGGCTTTGAGGAAGTGATACCCTCAGATGTGGCTAACATCAGGGAGGTCCTTATAGCCTGTCCTGAAGACAAGGAAAGCAGAACCAACGGTCTAAAATATCCCTTCCCTCTGGCCGGAACTCAGTTTCTAGAAATTCAGTTTCTAGGAAAAGTCTGAAAGAAAACTGGTGTTCTCTGTTTGAGGGTGTTTGTCATGGTGTGGCTTACAACCGCAAACATACACCAGGGCCTTTGGATATGACGGATTCTTGTTAGCTCCCAGAAGAGCTTAGCAGCTGGGCAGCTGTGACCCGGGCTAGACATTCCACATCTGCCTGCATAGACAGGTCTATCTAGAGGGGCCCAGACAGCCTGGGGAACTTACCCCAGAGGCTCGAGGTGGGGTGAGTCCTGTGGTGACTGCCTTCAGTGTCCAGAGTCACTGGGGTCACAGATGGCCGTGACAGTTGTGTGACACTGCAAACTTAAGGTTTTCCTTCATCTGTGCAATCGTGGTCTGTCTGCTCCCTGTGCAGAACAAGAGGAAGACTCTTACCCGAGGGGTTACCCAGGCATGTGCGGACAGCCCTTTCCCTGCACCCAGAGGGAAGTGCTGACACGTTGGTCTACTTTTCAGACTGAGGCAGATTTAGAGAAAGGAAGTAACGCCCAGGACAGCTGGCTGTCCCGAGAGGCAGCTTCCACGAGGTGCTGGGCCTCAGGATGGTCAGCTTCATAGATAGGTGTGAGCTTGCAAAAGTGAAAGTCGAAGAAACAAAGACTTAAATGAGTCAGAGCAAACAGCAGCAGCAGCAGCAGCAGCAGCAGCAGAGAGAGAGAGAGAAAGAGAGAGAGAGAGAGAGAGGCAAAACTGCTTAGAGGCTGAGCGTCACAGGGGCAGTGCACAAGACTCATCTTTTTACTGTGATTTGGGGACCGAATGTGCACCTGGACACGGAGAGGAGGCTGTGCGGGGTTGTTACTTCAGGAGTCCATGGCAGTAAGAACGAGGATTTTCTGGCTTTCAACTGCTGATTGTATTTGAACAAAAATTAACATTCCCTCCAAGAGGGGGAAAGGTGGCTCTGAAGGTCATAAAACTTACAAGGGGCTTTACTCCTGAGCTTACACAACAGTGAGCAATCAGTTGGGAGAAGGAGACCCTTGGGTGGTGCAGCCACTTGCACGTTGTCCAGGGAGCTGGAGTGGGTAGTGTCTGAGTGCTCTCACTCGAGCTGGGGAAGGCTTCTCAGGGATGCAGCTGTCTGAATTGCATATGCTCCTGTTACCCCAGTGAACTCATCCGCTTACCAGTCTGGACCGGGAGGACTTGTCTCTGCCCCATTTTGGCTTTTTATCTGTCATGAATTGAAAGTAATACAGTCAGGGACTTCGCTGCCACCTATCTTGAATGCCAGTTGGTGGATGGTGATGGCATGTGGGTGAACATCACAGGACTGTGACTTACGTGGGCTGTAATGCGCTTTGCTCTGTGCCCTGCAGCTTTGCGTGGGTCTCATACAGGACAAGAAGACCTATTGGTGGTTATGTGGCAATACCTGCCACACTTGCTACATGCCGTCATTCACTCCCTATCTCTAGGCAGGGAGGACATGGTGGTGCCAGTCAGGGGATTCTTAGATGCAGACGCCCTGCCACGTTATCCCAAATGCTCTGCTGCAAACAGCTTCCGTGTCACATAAATCAGTGTCACCCCAAAGCCAAGACCCCTGGGGTCCCTGCTGTCTCTGCAGGGGCAGGACCAGCTCTCTTATAGGCAAGGAAATTGAGACTCAGAGAAGGATGTGACCTTCTCAGGGTCACAGCGGGCAGACACCCCTACAGAAAAGGCAGAGGCACCAGGAAGCCAGGTCTCCTGTTCCCAAGGCTGGAGATCTTGCTGCAGAGCTGCCTTGTGCCCAGTCAGTGCCCTCACCTGGCCCTGCTCTGGTACTTGTAGCTAATCACGACAAGAACAAATTCTGTTGCATTCGCCTCTACACGCTAAGTGATTCATTAGTATGAAAACCATATTCTTCATTGCTGCTGCCAGAGATTCTTGACACATCACAGTTGGGGTTGTGGGCATAATTTCACTCCCTTGTTAAGCATTTATATGCAGTTATTGTTGGAAGAGTCCCCTGTGACTAATCCAAGTTCCCAGCTTTCAGATGAAGGAAGGACATGAGGCTCAGCTCAGGAGCCAACTTGAGAAACTCGGCAGTGGCTCGAGACAAACCCACTGAAGCTCCGGACTTTTCAGCTTCTCAGATGCAAAAAGGCCGCAGGGGAATAAAATCCACTGCTCTCCAGGTACGAGCATAGCTGTGCCAGGCACTGTGTGTGAACTGGTGATAATATCCATCCTGACCCTTTTAGGAAGATGATCTTAGTTCCTATTCTTCAGAGAGGGCAAAGCACATGCCTAAAATCACAGAGTGTGTAGCTGGGAATTAGTATTCATGTCTTACCCCTTATCAGCATTGGCAAATTATAGTCCATGGGCCCAATCTTACCTACTGCTTGTTCTAATAAAAAAGCCTATAAAAATGTAAAGTAGTGCTTCATGACCCATGAAAATGTTATGCAACTGACATTTTAGTGTCCATAAACAATACTTGACTGGGACACAGACACCTTCATGCATTTATTTGTTTGTCATGGCTGCCTTTGAGCTATAGTGGCAGACCAGACACGGCCGCGTGCTATTTAGCAATTGACACAATCTGAGAAACTCATTGTTGGTAGATAGACCATCGCACAGTGTGTACTCACACGCTCTGAGTCGTCCTGGCTTTGCATGGACCTCATCTGTATGGCACAGCCTGCCATTCCTAGGTTAAGAAGCTGAGCAGGGCAACACTGTGCTGAATGGTGCAGGAAATCCCAGCACAGTGCTGAGCATTTATGCATCTGAACATAGACTCAATACTGCACAGGCACAGGCAATAGATCATCCGTCTCCTTCTCTTTTATAATTGTAGATATGGAGCCTGACACTCCGAAGAAAAGCTTTCCCCATCTTCCTCCTGCTGGGATGTCTTCTGAGGGGCCCCGAAGATACACAACCTCTCCCCAACAGGACACACTGGTTGGTTTATCCCAGAGCAGCAGATCCCGGGAGGTGGGGGCTTCCTCTGTGCCCCCAAATTGCATGCTGCCCTAGAGCTGGGTCCCACAGGGAAAGAGCCTTTGAAGTTTTTTTCCTTGTCAGATGAGTGAAGTCTTTTGCCTTTGTGGTGAAAAGGTAACAATTCAGTGGCCCCTGCCTCTCCCTGCAGGCCCTAGGAAGACAGTGCCTGCTGACCTGCCTTGGAGAAAGACCAGAGGAGAGGCATGGTCTCGGAAGAAGGTGAAGTGGGCTCAACCTCCATCTGGCTTCAAAGGCACCATCTTCAGATGCACTGCATCCAGGGACTGACCTTTCTGGGGCCATGATTTATCCTTGGGATTTTGAGGCTGTGATGGGGACCCCCACTTCTCTCTAGTCTCCTTCCCCTGACTTCCTCTGAGGATAGGAGGGGCTCTCAAACCCCACACTCTCTCCAGAGCAGCTTTGAGGTAGGCATGCATTTGAAGCCACCTGGGGGTGGCAAGAAGAGGGGAGGAGCTGGGCCAGCTAGGTCTTAGACACTGGGTCTTCGCCAAGCCCATGGACAACTATCTGTGTCCAAAGGCCCAGAGGTCCTCCCTGTGCCCACCACACCCCCACCTTTCCTGGTGAAGGAGAAACAGGTCTTAGAAGGAAAGAAGGAGAGGAAAACAAAGACAAAAGGAATGGATAACGGAAGACTAGACACAGGAAAAATGGATTTCTGAAGCATCATGCTAAATGAAAGAAGTCAGGCAGAAAATGTCCAGGATCAGAAAATCTACACAGACAGAGGACTTCCCTTGAGTTAGAGGATGAAGGAATGGGCTGTGGGAATTGGGAGGTGACAACAAGAGGGAATAGGTTTTGTGGGGAAGATGAGTGCTTCAAAATTGCTATGACTGTGGTTACACTCTTCTATGAATGTTCTAGAAACCACTGGTGTGTGCACTTTAAGTGAGTGGATTGATAGTGTCTGAACAGAGAGGGAGAAAAAGGCAAAGAAAAAAGATGAAATATATACAGGAGAGAGCAAGGCATGGAAGGCAGACAAAGGAAAGAAACACCCTTGTTCACATGTCTGCCATATGCCAGGGATGCCAAGGGCCTGCACCTTTAAGACAGTGAGAGTTGTCACCACTTGATAGACTGGAAAGTGGACCTCAGACTGTTCCATAACACCGACCAGCAAGTATAGTCACCATGACTCATACTGAGTCTACCCAACTTCCAGGCAGCTGACATCAGGACAGAGAGGGAGACCAGTCCTATACAAGGCAGCCAAAAATCTAGGCCATGTTGGAAAGTCAGATGATGGAAATGAACACAGTTGGGCTTTTGAGCCAGTCAACAAGTTTAGGGCCATGCACAAAACTCCCCTTCTTAGTCGCTGCTCCTCTGAGGACGTGTGTCTATCAGACATGAAGCTCTGGCATGTCCATGGACATTGCAGCCTTATCTCCACAGAACAAACTTACAGGAAGTACCCTTCCCCCCACCCACATAGTAAGGCCATGCTGTGGGTGGTGAAGTGTCTGTGGGTGGCTATCCTGCCCAAAGACACTTTTTCTCTATTGTCATGTGCCTTCAATCTTCCAGGCTCATCTATGATAGCTGGTGGCTATGGGTGGGTCCGGGAAGACTTTCTACCTGAGGCTTTGTGACTCAGATGGTCCTGGATACTGCTGTGAGATCTGCCCCTGGCATCGAAGGCTTGGAGGAGGGTCGGCTGTGACTTCGTGTGTAAGAAAAGGGAACAAGCTCTCTCTGAGCTTTTCTAGGCTTCCAAATTTCCCTCTTTGAGGCCTGTTTTCCTGATGTCTGCAGCTGTTAATCATTTCTTAGGGATCCCATAAACCTAGGACAAGAATTTATTTGGACATTCGCCAGCATGCCAGGCACAGGGCTGGCTGTCAGGGGTCCAACAGTGAATTAACATGGGCCTGGCCTGGTCTCCAGGAGCTTATGGTGTAGGGGAGCAAATATAATACCCAGTTGAAGGTGGGACAATGTCTCTTAGTATGGGAGGTGCCAACTGCGTGCATGAGAGGAGAGTAGTGTGATTGTAGGCTCCAGCACAGAGCCTTGGTGGCTGGGTAGGCTTTGACTTTCATTCCAAAAGCAACAGAAGGGTTGGACCATAGTCAAGTCATTTTTAGAAAGGTCTTGTGTGGCTTTGGAAGGAAGAAAGGTAGACTCAGGGACTAGAGGCAACCCTGGCTCCTTGGAAAGAGGAGAGTTGGAAGGTGAAGGAAAAGGTACCTGGCTGGCACTCCAGCCCTTGAGGCACCTGGTCATTGTCGAGCCAGGACAGAAACACAGGGGTGGGGGATGGGGCTGTGCTGGAATGAGGAAGGGCACACTCAGAGGTGTTGATAGGCTAGGTGCCCACAGGTCTTATCTCCCCAGAGATTATGGGAGCAAGTAAGTTGGGGAATAAGACCCAAAGCGTCCAGCCTCCCTGCCTGCTCTGCACTTCAAGTGGGTCAAAGCTGTCTGATGCCTCGGCTTCCCCTTCTGGTATCTACAGGACTGCGTCTGAGGCATTTGTCATAAGCAGGGCCATTTGTTGGTTGACAGAGGCCAGGCTTGGAGGACAGATGAGCATGGATGGGAATCTTAGTTCTACCACATTTGAAACAGTGGTGGCCTGACGCCAGCCAGATGATACGGTTGACATTGCAGTAAGAGTTCAGGATCAATGAGGTTTTCAATGAGGGAGAGCAGAGAGGGACAGGTGTGACGTCTATGAAGGACCCTCCACACCCAGGAGGGAGTGGTGTCTGTGAGGTCAGGAGGGATGAAGGCCAGGAATCTAGTGAGGCTCTGTTGCCCTCATAGCTGCCCCTCAGAGCTCAGAGCCCATCACAAGGGCTTGCAAGTGAATGAATGAAGGAACAAATGGATGAATGAATGCATGAATGGGTCTGTAGGGATAAAGGCATGATCTCAGGGAAGAGAAACAAAAGCCACATTAATTGAGAAACTCATCTGTTAGGTGGTTTTAGAGCTTCTGTTCAGGACTCAAGCAGGAGCTGGCTCTGCACACAGTGAGCTTTCTCAGTGCCTCCCAGGACAGCACCACAGGGCTCTGCACACAGTGAGCTTGCTCAGTGCCTCCCAGGACAGCACCATGGGTTCCCTCAACACCTTGTAGTGACTTTGTTCTCAGTGAGTTTATTGAAATCTCATTTTGATTCTGTTTCTCTTCCCAGCTTGGACACCTCTCAGAGGTGGAATCTTGTCATTGTCCCATGCCCTTTGCCCACTCTTACTTGCACTCGGCATACCCAGTGTTCTTCTGCAGGCTTTTTGTTTTTTTCAGATTTTAAAGATTTTGCTGTTCTCTCTCCCCCAACCACAAGCATCAATGCAACTTCCTACATCTGCAGGCTCACTCATCTGGCCCACATCAAAGGGGCCATGGCAACCTTCTGTCCAAGGCCCAGATCTGCTAACCACAAGCTTCTTTCCAAAGCCTGCCCCTAGCACCGCCCCCCCCCCCGCCACTATGTCTGTCTTTCCCCAACCTCCCACCACC